GCTAGTGGGGTCACTCTTAATTTAGAATTGAGCAATGCCATCTCAGAAAAAATCCCACATGACTGTGTTGTGATGATTAGATTATTTCCATTGTGCCTCTAATTTGTCTATCTCATTACAAACACTTTGTGAAATCAGGTAAAGAGCTTTTATTGTTATTTTTGTTACTTTTTTTGCATGGAGCCAACTCCCTGATTCAATTATGATCGTTAAACTCCAATCCTATACTGTCTGTCTTGACCCAAATCCCTACCCGACTGCCTCAACTTCTCCCTTTAGATTTCCAAACAACTGACTACCCCACACATTCTTATGACTAACCCATCCCCCACCCGGTATTAATCTTGTTCTTTATAATGTTCTGACCTGCTGCTATAATGTTTGACCCCAAAATGTCTTGTGTTCTGAGGAAAGGTCACTGGACTGGTAAGGTTAGCTCTGTTTTTTTTTCCTGGCGCTGCCAGATCCTGCTGAGTTTCTCCAGCACTGTATGTTTTCGATTCAGATTTCCAGTATCCGCAGTTCTTCGTTTTATTGCCTGGTGAAAGACTGCTTATAAATGCGCACCTGCCCCAGCTGATGGGTCTATGTTTGGTCTGATGGGCTTCACCAATGGACGTGCAAATGAACTAAGCCAAGAACCCATGCAGACTATCAGTACTGTAATGTCCCACTGCCATAAATGATGCGGAGGTGCCGGTGTTGGACTGGGGTGGACAAAGTCGGAAGTCACACGACACCAGGTCATAGTCCAACAAGTTTATTTGAAATCACAAGCTTTCGTAGCGCAGCTCCTTCGCCTGACGAAGGGGTGTGCTTCGAAAGCTTGCGATTTCAAATAAACCTGTCGGACGATAACCTGGTGTCGTGTGACTTCTGATTTTGCCCATTGCCAGAAAGTCAGCGCAGGGGCAGTTCCCTCCAGCCCCGTGCAATCGGGATTTCTCCGAGTGTAGCAGGAAGCAGGGGAGAGTGGTCCCCGAGAAGGGGAGTGCTTCACCTGGAATACGAACTCCATTATGTTGTGTTACCGCAGCTAGAGTGCGCGCTTTAGAGCAGCCCGCTGTCTTTTCTGGGGGGAAAAATGTCTTCAGCAATACTTGTCTCTGCAGTAAATCACGTTCCTTTCTAAAGCTCACTAAAATTCACTGCAAGAAGCTCTAGTAACCCCTCGCTTTGGTGCCACTCCCATTGTGAGAGGAGTGAATAGAGTCTAGAGCTCAGTGACCGCGAGTTACCCCGCACCCTCTAAAGAAGTTCAAGATAATCCCATTCCACCCGTTTATGCATATTTTGTAAACAAACGGACATTGTAATCAATCGCTCCTTTCTCTTTGGCACCGTTTAGCCTACAATACAACTCAAATAGAACTTTTGAAACAAGCAAAGACCTTTAGCAGATGCATTTCTCATAAGCAAAACGAGAAACTTTTGTCCGAAAAATATCCAACACGTGGAAATGACATTACGAGAAAGCAGTGTACGAGCTCACTCTTCACAATGTATGGAATCTACAACTGGGGTCGTTCATATTGAGAATAAAAGTGCAGAGAACTGCTAATCTTTCAGAGGGGAAATCCTTCCTGGATAAAAGCGAAAACAAAGCGATGTTCTGAAAAGCAGGCAATAAAATAGAACTACTTTAATTAAGGAGCAATATCTGGATCTGAACTGGGAATGGATACATCGCTAGGCTGTGTTGTCACCGTTTAGCTCTCAAATAAAGATAAAAAGCAAGGCAGTTCGAGGCTGTACATTGTGCAGCTTTCAAACTCTCGGTCTATTCTAGGTGGCAGCTGTAATTAGCATACTCTCTATCAGGGGATTCCGTAGTTTGCTCCAGAATTAGGTCAGGGTCTTCCCTTATACAGTGGATATTGTGGTAAGCTCCCTGACGGAGGGTACAAGATCGCCTGTTCCCTCGTACGATTTTACATCAGTTGTGCTGCTCCTTTCATCACTGCGGGGCATTCATGTTTACGAATCCTTCCTATAGGCTGTGAAGCAGAACAAAGGAAACCGGGGAACAGTCAGTGGAATGGCTAAGCACATTTCTCAGACCCCATTACTGAAGGAGAACTTTGTTTTCACCTTTCAGGAGTTTGGCACCCACTCCATTTATTAAACGAATGGAAATAGTGATGCGGGTTGGGGGGGGAGGGTGGTTGGAGTGAGCCTCTGGAATTGTGCATTGAAGTGATTAAATGTCTGAAAATTAGAAAGCTAAAACTTTTGTATTGTATTTTGAAATCTTTCAAATGACTTGTAGACTTAAGAGGCAGACGATTAATTTGTACGGGTCTTAGCACAGGATCTCGTTTCTAACCAATCCGCTCAGAGATACATAATATATTTGTGCAGGGATGTTATTACACACGTCTAGAGCAGGTAGGTCCTGAACTCAAACCTCCTGGGAGGGACGCGACACAAGAGCCCTTATACTCTATTTTCACAAGTGTTGATCGGTAATGACAGTCTCAGTGATGCGACCTAACGACCAAGTGGTTCAAAGTTCATGAAGCATTCTTCCTGCTCATCTAGTAACAGAGCGGTTCTGAAGCAAGATGCTGAAAATGGCTTCATGCCGCATAACTGGGGGGGGGGGGGGGGCACAACCACTGGAGCTACAAAGTTAGGATGAAAATCTTACTTTACAGCGACGATACGCTGTAGAACCCTGAATCAGAGTTCAACATTCTAATCCCGAAGGACTTGTATTTACAACACACCTTTCCCTCCCTGATGACGCGCAAAAAAGCTTTGCAATGCTCGTTTGGAAAGACTTTTCCCTTGGAAAACGAAGCAGCCACAGAATAAAAGGATTGTGTCAGTGACAATATGGTATGTTTCAGTGATGTCACTAGACTGTGGCCCTTCTTTCAAATACCACATTAGATCCTTCAAGCGGAGATTAACATCTCTGAAGAAGAGCAGTAAAAAGACATGGGATTTTTTTCTCTCTCTCTGCAAGTTCCGCATCAGCTCACTGTGACATTGCATGGAGTAGGACCGGTATATTACAGTCTGCCTGGTATCAGTATTATAATTACTGATTTCAGACGGATTGAAATAGGATAAAATCCACCAAGAAGCCTTAAATTCACAGGAACGTACAGACGAGAAGGAGGTTCCTCGAGTCAGTCCCGCTATTCAATAAGATCATGACAGATCTCATCATGCCACATTCCCATTGACCCCATCATATTTCACCACCTTTCTTATCAATAATTTATAAATCTTTGTGACTCCCTTATCCACTTAATAAGTTCCCAAATTTGGACCGAACGGTAAGGGGCAGAATCTGAAGGAGATCACAATCGCTGCTGGGAGCAGGAAAAGTCAGGATTAATGCTTTTGGAATGTTGAAAAAATGCTGGCTCTGTTTGCTTTTTACACGCTCTTTTTGGCTATAATGCACGTCCGAGAACATGTTAATAGTCCACAAGCACGCCCAGCCTATAAAAATCTCCATGCGCTTTATCCACAGAGACAACAATGGGCAAACTCACAACGCACTCAGATGATGGGGCTTTTAGAGCCCAACCCACATGCTCCTTGGTGAACTTCTCATTATTGATCTAAACTGCAGCTTTATTGTAGCCCCGGAAATGTACATGATGAAGGAAATCGCTGGCTTCGTTCGGCATCAGGACCTTGCATCTATCTACACAGCATAAAGCAAAACATTCGTCTCCATGTAGTAAACATTGGGACCAGCGGTTAGCACGGACGGAATAAACTAAAACAAAGAACTGAGGATGCTGGAGATCTGGAATAAACAACAATAAAGAAACACAAATTGCTGGAGAAACTCAGCAGGTCTGGCAGTATCTGGGCAGAGAGAAACAAAGTTAATATTCCGAGTTCAGTGACCCTTCACCAGTTTTGAAGAAGGGTCACAGGACTCGAAACGTTAACTCCGTTTCTCTCTCCTCAGTTGCTGCCAACCCTGCTGAGTTTCTCCAGCACTTTTTGTTTCTGTACCAGGGAAGGAAATTGCTTTTTGTGACATGGAAGGGTTCTGGAGAGTGAAGGCGGTTGTGAATTGTGGTTGAGGAAAGACTTAAATTTTAATTAACGCCATTGGCAAAACGCAGAAGAATTTTTAAAATACACATTTGAATAGGAAGACGAGGCTTTGATGAATCTTGTTATCTGAGAAGCAGTAACAGTGATGTACTGGTGTTTTTTGTTTTTTTCAAAAAGTTATGGGATGTGAACTCATGAGGAATGGAATACGAAACAACTGGGCGTGGTGGCGCTCACTTTTTCATTTCGCTTCGAGGGAATTTTCTTGATTATGTGTTCACTGCGGATAACTAACTTTTTATTTACTGAAGAGCACAGCCCTTTCAATTTCCAAATGCGAAACGCTTGACCAAAATATTGCATTTTAATGTTAAAAACAATGCAAAGTTTTCCAGAGCCGGCGCGTCCCGCAGCATCTGCACTGTGTTTAATTTTCGTTCCGTTTCAGTCCGATGCCCAGCCTTTTTACCAGGTTCAGGTGACGGGATATTCATGTCCAGTGGGTTCAACTTTGAAGAAGACACGGTGCGAATGTGTTCCAGCCCCTTTGGAAATGTGTAGCCAGGGGAAGAGAAATAAAAGCAAGGACCGGTCCTCCGTTTAGAGTGAGGGGAGGAGGAGGAGGGTGTGTGTGTGTGTGTGTGAGTTTGAGCAAACCCGGAGGAGGTTGAAGCTGATCGGTCCTCAAACATCATCCGATCTCTGATCGCCAAGGAGATCAGTGCATGTCCCTCCTCCATCTCAGGCACTGGAGACTTTATAAAGGAAGTGGGGAGGGGGTGAGGGGTGGTCTGCGAGGTAACTGGCGGTCAGAAGGGGGCTGAGCTGGTGCAGTTTCCGCTGCTGAAGGCTCCCCGGGAGCCGCAGGAACAGGCAGTGGGGTGGGGTTGGGAGAGAAAGAGGCAGGGAGAGCCGGGGAGCGCTGTCAGTTTCCCCCGTGGTGCTGAAAGGGAAAGCCAACCATCCAGGCCATGGGGGCGCTGTGCGCGGCTCTGCTCCTGTTCTCCTTGGCCGCGCTCTCGCGCCGGGGCGAGCCGATCCCCGCAGCCTCTTACCTGAGCGACGGCCGTTACTGCGCGGAGCTGTGGCGCGCTCAGCCGGGGCTGGGTTACGCCCGGATTTCCGACGGCACCCTGTTGCTGGAGCGGGAGGCCGGCCGTCTCCCGGGCTGCTCTGTGCGCACGGAGCCCCGGGCTGTCAGCTCCTTCATGCGGGAGTGTGAGCTCCGGGCCAGCCACCTGCCGCCCGGCACCGACCTGAGGGACACCTGGAACCGCCGGAGGAGCCAGTGCCGGGCGGGGCCCGCACAACGTCCCCTCCGCAGGAGCAAGAGGGGCTTCACCTACCCGGGGACCCTGTGGTGCGGGGCGGGGGACAACGCCGACAGCTACGACCACCTGGGTAACTGGAGCCCCCGGGGCGCGGCTGCGAGTTGGGGTTTGGGTTTGGGGGGGAGAACGGGGCGTCTTTGAAAAGGTCCCTCGTCATGTTGACCAGGGGAGGGAGGGGTGGGGGAGACAAGGAAATTGGTACCGATGCTCAGCGAGCCAGCACGGGCATGAAGGGCCGAACGCCCGCCCACCTTCTCTCTTCCTGGAGCCACTCCGCGTTTCCTTTGGAAAACCCAGCTCCCGCGACGGCGTAAAAATAGGCGCAACTCGCGCCCCAAATTGCGCCTGCCTCGGGACCGGCTGCTCCCTGGGACTGGTGTCTAGAAGCGGTTCTCAGAAAGTCGAGGCGGCTACAGCTCGATCTTAAGCGATGAGCTGAAATCTGTCTCAGCTCTGGTGAGAAATGTCGTCTCTGATTATTATTTTTTTTTCCCTCCCTTCTCTCCCGCTTCCTCTCCCCACCCTCCATCCCCAAACCCAGGCGAGTTCACAGAGACGGATAAATGCTGCCGGGAGCACGACCACTGCGAACATGTCATCCATCCTTTCGCCTACTCTTACGGCCACAGGAACTTCAGGCTGCACACCCTCAGCCACTGTGACTGCGACACCGAGTAGGTAGCGCCCGTCCGGGCCCCTCCTCACTCTGTTCGCTCCGGAATTGGGAACAGTGTGTTTAAGGGCAAGGGTTTGGACGGAGAAACAAGTGGGTGTGCCAAGGCAAATGCTGCCTTTTGGAAAATAACGGGAAAGCCAGGGACTCCAGAACTTTGGATGTTTTCTGCATTGAAATGCTACATTTGGTGGCTGTCATGTAATTCTTAGAATTTGGAGTACACTGCAATCACTAGTTTCAGCTCGACAACAGTGAGGAACAATTTAAAAGGGCAAATTAAAACAAGTTTAAACGCAAAGAGGAAGCGACAGATTTGCAGATTTGACTCCTCTTTCTCCGCCCCCCCCACCTTGTTTTCTACTCACAGGTTAAAGAGGTGCTTAAGAAGAGTCAACGACACATCCTCCAGGGTTGTGGGACAGGCATTCTTCAATGTGTTAGAGGTCCCCTGTTTTGACCTCGTCTACAAGGAGCAGTGTGTGGAACGGTATTGGTATGGCTGGTGAGTTCACTTTTAACAATCACGATGTTGTAAATCAAGCAACAAAGATTGAACACTGGAAACAGCAGATACTCAGCTCTCTCCATTTTATGATTTCTCATGACCTCTGGAGTCAGTTTCACAGTCATGGGCCATCAATTCAAAGAATGTCTGTACTTAATGAGCCATACACAAACATAATCATACTCAACCCCTGGTTTTCCAAGTACCTTTATTTTATGAAGACTGTGAGCCAAGATTTCCTCTGCACCACACTTATTCTGGGATCATAATCCTCTTCTTTGTAAACCTTAAGGGTTGTTTGCAAGTTGACACAGAGGAATTATTTTCCCTTTCATCAATGTAAATCTTTATTTCTTCTAAATCCTAAATTGACATGAAGGTATAAGCGTAATCTTATCCTTAGTCCTCATAGACATTCTGGCCCTGGGTGGCCTTATCCAAAAGTACAATGGGTTTATATGTATGCTAACAAAAGCCAGTTCTCCCTCACCATTACCTTTCTTGAATCCTCCACTGTTGCCATGTTATTAGACTGCTCAAAGCTGGGTAAGTGACAATTTACTCCAAATATCTTCCTCTTAGTCTCTGCTCCTAATTCCATTCCCTAGCTACTGATCCATTCTTCTCCCTGGGAACTGTATGGAACTAAACCAAACATTTTACAACCTTCATGTGATAATTGTCAAATAAGCTTCTGATTATGTATTTGTCTTAGTGATTATGCAATTTCTAATGAAAATTCTTATTTCCACATTGTCAGATTTTGCCCATGTCTGAGCTCATGTAAAACTTCCTTTTGTGCATCTATTGTCTTCAGACTTGAAAAAAATCCAGCGCAATTCTGGCCTGTCTCCCACACTATACCTTTCATAAACTTGATCACATCCAAACCTCTGCTGCCTGTGTCCTAACTCTCTAAGTCTTTTTGCTTATTATACTTGTGCTCACTGAGTCACGTTGATTACTGATCAAGTAAAACCTTAATTTAAAAAAAAAGTCTCATCCTTGTTTTCAGTTCACTTCACAGTCTTGCCCTCTAACCAATTCTCATTTGCAACCTGCCGCAATATGTACGATCATCTAATTTTGGTCTTGTGCATCCACTGATGGCATTGATCTTTAAACTCTGAAATTTCCACCCTATACCTCTCCACTTCTTTACTATACTCCTTTAGTACACTCCTTAAAACTAATCACTTTGACCAAGCTTTTTGCCATCTGGCATCTGGCTCAGTTTCCTACGATACTACTGTGAAACTCTTTGAGATGTCTTATATTTGTATAGTACCTTTAACATAAGTTGTTACTATTGTGCATACTCTTTCCTGTGTTTCATAATTTGACTTCTGTCATTATGTACCAAACCCAACACAATTACACAGAATTAGACTTTGAGCATTTTGAAAATGCCAGTTTGTAGATAGTTAATGCTTTCATGTTTTCAGTGCCCGTTTTAAATAGTTAGTTGATATTTAAACAAACGTATGGTTATTTTGAGAAGAGACCTGTGCAGAACTTTGTTTCTAAATTCCACTTATTGTTGACCAAACAATAACAGATCACTGCCAGTTAGTATGGCACCACATTAATTCAGGAATTATTTAAAGTATCACTCCTGATTTGTGGCAGTAAGAGAAGGGATTATGCTCACTTTATACTACAAAAAAATTACTTCAGCCAACAGTTTGTGTGTGTGTGGTTTTAACACTAATTAAACTATAAAATGGAACAGTACTGTGGAAAACTTTTGTATAGTAAGTAGAATCATTCAACATTTAAGAGGTTTAAATTATTTCTGCTCATCTCTAAAAGGTGCAAAAAGTATGATCGTGTTCTAATCGCTGTACCCAGGGAGTCTGGGCTTTATGATTATGGAGGAGAATTGATTGATCTAGCAGTGATGCAAAATCCTGCTTCAGACAGCTCAACATCCTTTTCTTCAATAAGCAGCACGTCACCTTTAACAGCAGCTCCAGAAACAGCTAAACCAGGAGCTACATGGCAACAGTCAACACTTGGCCAAGTATTTCATGCGGCAGAAGATGTCCTCAAAGTCATGGTTTCTGTCACACAGAGTTCTGCCCATGGCACCGTACCTAGCACTGTGAGCAACACTGTGAATGACAAGACCCGTGTTGCACTGGACAAAGCCAAGAAAAAGGAAGGAAGGAAAAGCAATAAGAGAAGGAAGGGAAAAGGGAGGAAGAAAAATCGCAAAGCGAAACTCCATTCCAAAACCACCAAGGCAACTAATGTATTGCCACTCCTTGAAAAGAAAATTCAAAACAAAGAGGACTATTTCACTGAGATTGAGAAGATTGGAAATAATGAATTTAACCATCTTTTTGATAATTCTCTGGATTTAGGGATAAAGGAAAATGCATTTAATGATGTTATGAATGATGAGTCTTACAGAGCGGACAGCTTCACACAGGTTTATCAGATGCCTTCTGTGGTTACAACCAACCCTATTCATCAAAGTTACAGAGGTGAAGGTTTTACATCTCTTGCATTTACACAGGTTCCTAAATCTGAATTTTATAGTGAGGGTGTGACTGCCAAATCACTGCTCAAATTGGAGGATGCACATCAGTCCCATAGAGAAGAAGCATTTACACAACCACCTACTAAACCTAGTCATGATACCCACTTCAGCAAACAAACTTCTGTTTTAACCGTGGTTATGTCTAGACAATACACAGCCAAGGTATCTACTCCACCAAATGTTCATAAAAAGCTTGAAGTGGTTACAAACACTAAGCTGAAAGCAAACCAATCAACTCCTCCCTCAAAAAGAAAAAACAAAACGTCGCGACGTAAACGGAAGGGCCGAAGGAGAAAGCATCAAAAATCTCAACAAGAAAGCAAGCTGGTTATACCAACTGCTCCTAGCAAGGCTGCTCATGGTACACTCTAACTAGGAATGTATATTAAAGTGTTTCATCCATATAGCTGCCAAATGACATATTGTCTTTCATAAAAACTTTGTGACTGCAAAGAATATCTGACATTACAACACAATTGTGAAGAACAGTTAGCTTTCTGAAATAGACTGTGTATATATTGAAGTTTCATATTGTTGAGATTTGGTTCATTTGTTGGACCATGATTTGTATCAATGGACCCAAATACACGTAGAAAGAAACCTTTATACAGTTTAATAAATCTAATACCTTTTAGACATAATTAACTGAGTATGTTTTGTATATTCAATGCAGGTTTGAATATACTCAGCTGTTGAATCCTATTCAACTGGATTCACCTTATTCTTCAAATAATTTCAACAAATTACAGAATTGTGCTGTATTGGTGAAATGACTTACATTTGCAAATGAATGGTAATGATATTACTATGAAGAGTGCTATGGTTTGTTTGAAATGTCAATCTGTGCAAATTGACAGAATTGAGAATTGTAACTTCTGGCCAAGTTCAGATGTAGAACCTAGTATTGGTAATTGTGCATGGTAAGAGAAACTATGTACAATTTTTTAGTTTCTGAAAAGGCTGACTATCAAGGGGAAAGATCCCTTTATGATTCCATGATCTTCAAATTTTTATTCATTATCTTTACGAACAGTCTAGACTAGGAACTGAGCAATTCCATATTAATATGTTCAGAGTATTCAGAATTGCAGCTGAACTCTTGCTAACTTTATAAATAACTATGATAAATAATTCTTTGAATATTTATGTCATGCCACTTTCAGTGACGTTACTGCTGACTGAGTCATTGGGATAGGGATGAAAAAATTAGGTGAGGGATCTCCCTTTAGACTCAATCTAAAAATGGATGAGTGAGGCAAAATGAGATCAGATTCATCAATAGGGAAGAATGTTGGCAACACTTAGTGCCAAAAAAGAATGGCCACTTAGATGAAGTAAGAGGATGACTGGACTCTGAATTTTTTTCACAGCAAGTTTTCAGCAGTTGCTTAGATTGTCGCACTCTTTGGTCTCAGAAGATTGTGGGTTCCAGTTCCACTTAGGACTTGGAAACAAAGACTAGGTTGGCACTTTAATTCAGTACCGAGGGAATGTTGAACAGATGGTCTTTTGGTTGAGATGTTAAATCAAAGTTCTATCTGCTGTCTGAGGTAGAAATAAAATAGTCTGTGCAACTATTTTTAAGAAGTGGCATTACCCTTGCGCCCTGGCCAAATACCTATCCCTCAAGCAACATATTCCTCTGAACCTTTCTTGTTCATATACCCACCCAGATGTCTTTGAAATGCTGTAATTGTACCAACCTCCTCCACTTATTTTGGCAGCTCATTCCATACACAGACCACCCTCTATGTGAAAAGGTTTCCCCTTAAGTTTAAGGTAAGAGAGGAAAGATTTAAAAGGGATATATGCCCCCTAGTTTTGGCCTCCCCTACCCTTTATAAAAGACCTTGGCGATTCATCTTATTTATGCCCCTCATGATTTTATAAACCTCTAAGGTCTCCCCTCAGCCTCTGATGCTCCGGGGAAAAAATGTTCCAGCTTATCCAGCCTTACACTTTAGTACACACCCTCCAAACTCTTCAAGATGTTGCTATTTTCACATTGCTAATTGTGGGAGCTTGCTGTATCGCTGATGTGTTTACTGCATTACAACACTGACTCTGAAGTGCTTCAAGATGTCCTGAGATCAAGAAAGGTGCTGTATAAATACAACCCTACATTTTTCTTTAAGAGGAGGAAAAAATGATTTTTGGAGAGAAAATGAAAAAGGAGATCCTAATGAAAAAAGTAAAGGACAAAAATGTGTTAACACTTTGACAAAGGATAGCAAACAGGCCTTTATGATTGTCTCATTCTTCTGTAATGGAAGCATAACACTTCAAGTTGCATATGTAGCTATCTTGCCCCCGCATCTAGCTCTGATGTGATAGGAACAAATAACATTAAGGGCAATCAGACACAAGAACAAGCCTTCCTTTTACTTGGATCAAACTCAGAAATTTTGACTTAACTGTTAATTGTGTGCATATTGTCCTCTGCTTCGTTGCACAACAGTTTACTCAAAGCCAACTTACTTTTGTCTGCACGCTGCTAAACACTAGTTAAGACCTTGGATTAAACAGGATAATTGTGATAGGGTACAAACATGATTCAATCAGAATATTGTAATAGAATGTGCCAAAGTATTATGTAAGGGAAATGAAATCCTCTTACGGTTTTCACAAGTTTCCACAATTAACCACATACTAAAAAAAGTTCAATAACTAACAGTAAATTAGTTAAATATTGTACATTCTAGGCTGTTTTACAGAAACAATGTGCCCTCTAATATTGAATGGTGTCTTGCCTGCAGTAATGACATTTGGATATGTGGTGTACTCCTTTGAAGGAGTATGAATGGTCCATCAACTTGGTCTGCAATTGAGCATTAAGTTAGTTTAGCTCAAAATTAAAAGGAAAGTCGCTTGAAGAAAGAAATGTTCTCAACCATTTGCCATCTTCCGAAGAGTAGATAAATGCTAAACAGCTGTCACAGTTTCTGAATACAAGACGGTGTGAAATGGTGGTTTAAGTGATGGATTTTGCAGTTGGACCACCATAGCTTGATATGATTTGACAAAATGAATAATCTTAACCCCAACCTTTGAGTATTTATTCTCATCAGTACTTTAACAGACTTGAATTGTGGACTTAATAGAACCATGAAGTGGGAAACAAAAAGTGAACTGTTACATTGAAGTAAAAGTAAGGTTCTTCAAAGTTCATAAATCTTTTTATAATCAATTTATTCCAAAAGGAATAAAATAATTATTCCAAACAAAAAACATGCCAACCTTGTTGGATTGTTAGCAGTTTACATGCCTTTAATGAACGAGTATTTTTAATTGGCAGCTCTGGATATATTCCAAGAAACATTTTTTAAACTGTTCATTTTAAAAAAAAATCTGCTCCATAGAAAGTCAAGACAATGACCCTGTGCTGCTGTGAGACAAAGAACAATGCAGGGGTTCATTACAAATAGGGAGTGAGATTCATCAAAGTCCAGTGTTTCTGAACACTATGATCAAACTAATTATGTTCCTGTTTAACAAAATCTGCCTCAGGTGTTTTGTTTTCTTCAGTGCCTACTTATATGCAGATTATACTTAAAAAAAGATGCAAAAGCAGTGGACAGTGTACAAAAAGACAGGAGACCATTCAGCCTCTCAAACCTACTACACCACTCAAGATCACTCCCAAACTGATTACTCCACATTCCAGCCCATCCCCAATAACCTTTCACACCCTTGCTCATCAACAATCTATCTAATGCTGTCTTAAAAATATTCATACTTTCTTCCTCAAAAGGTGGTGGAAGCAGAGTTCCAAAGACTTGTGTCACAGGGGAAAAAAAAACTCAACTGTCTTAAGTGGGTGACTCAATTTCTTTAAGTAGTTCTAGACTCCAATAAGAAAAAAAATCTTTTCCACATACCTCTGGATCTTATCTAGTCTCCAATGTAATATGGTTGCATCCAGAATGAAGGGAACTTGCTAATATTTGGGAATAGTGATACAAATCAGTAACTGCAACAGCACACTATCTACCTTCCATCCATTCATGTGCATCCACTAGTCCATAAACTTCGTCTTGCATAATGATGCTCATCTGTTCCCCAGCCATAAACTGAATTAGAATATTTGGGAACAATTTTAACTTGTTAATATCATCCGCAATATTAGTTTATTGAGGCCTACCAATAGATAGCAGAGATGTTTGCCTGTTTTCGACATGTTTCTTTTATAGAGTCATAGACTCATACAGCATGGAAACAGATTCTTTGGTCCAACCAGTTCATGCCAACCATAACCCCCAAATTAATCTAGTCCCACCAGCGGTTGGCCCATATCCCTCTAAACATTTCTTAATCATGTACTTAACCAAGTGTCTTTTAAATGTTGTAACTGTACCTGCATCCACCACTTCTTATGGAAGTTCATTTCACACACTAACTACTCTAAAAAAGTTGTCCCTCAGGTCTTTTCTCCCTTTACCTTAAAAATGTTCCTAAGTCTTGAAATCCCCTGCACAAAACTGTAAATTCCTAAAAATACAGATAGCAGAGGAATGTACTGAAAGCCTGCGACTTTCTACAAACCTAAGGTGTAGACTGCTCCATCTACTATAGCACGATAGCCCATCCATCAGTGATATCAACTGACCTGCACAAAATAACTCAGGGACAGTGCAGTCCTTTGATCAAAAACTCTTGCCACATTTACTTTGCAGAGTGCTAATTAAATTCATTTTACCTTGCTAATACTATTGAGCATCCACTTCCTTTTGCATGTTCTAATCAGGAGGTTTGGGGTCTCTCTTTTGCTTTTCATGTATATTTCTCCTGAGAAGGAAATATTTTCCTGACCTTCGTTGCCCAATACTGACAATATGTGCACTTAAGAAGCTTCAAATTAAACATTGACAACAAAAACAAAGTTGCTGGAAAAGCTCAGCAGGTCTGGCAGCATCTGTGAAGGAAAAAACAGAGTTAACGTTTCGGGTCCGGTGACCCTTCCTCAGAACTCAGGCTAGCTCAACTAATGTCTATCTGATACGGTGTACTCTTGTAGTGAAACTGAGGCTTTTTCACAAATTTTCAATCAAGTAGTATAGCCAGGAAATAGTCCCATGGTAGATATTCACAGGGTTTACAAAATGCTGGAGTAAGAGGTTATTTGTAACCAGCTTAATGCAATATCAAGATAATGTTTTCATTTCTGTGACTGGCAGAGATCCTTCAAGTTGGCCTCTCGTACTTTAGTACATGGAATAAAAATGAACTGCAAAAGGCCTTTAATTGTCAACATGCTATGCTTTGTGTTAACAATGTCAGAAGGCCAAATAAATATTTAGCAATGAAAGTGCAAACTGCATGCTTAACTCATTTTACAAATGAAATTCAGGTTGTATTTACAAATTTAACTGTGTGTATCACTTTAAAGGTTAGATATAAACATTAATATTGTAGTTGATTAGTTTCAATCGCACAACCATCAAATTGTTTCTCACAGCCTTCGATTCTGATGTTATCTTGAAATAGGGAAAACATTTCATGAAATGTAAAATAACAAAGAGTGGGACTTACAATAGTTAAAGTAAGCTGTTATAGTTACCCAATACTAACATAAGTTTAGGCAAAAATATTAAACTTGAACATATCACAATGGGTTTGCATCAGGATTATTCAAACAGAATAGG